TTAAAGGGCATTTGTCCAGAAAAGAAAGCTCTTGTCAGAACACAAGAAAAATTAAATAAAAAGCTCAACCGTAGTACCTTGTCTGTCGTTTTTTAATGAAACATGCACATATATATATATATATATATATATATATATATATATATATATATATATATATATATATATATATATATATATATGTGTGTGTGTGTATATATATATATATAAACGTAAAATGGTTTACTTCGGACTTTAAGTTTTTCAGTTTTTGTTAGGAGCCTTTTATAAACATTTGGTTTACGGCCAAATCACGTTGAAACACCGATTCTCGTATGATCAGCGAAGTTAAGTAATGTCGAACCGAGATCAAACTTAGCTGGGTGACCGCTTGGGAATACCAGTTACTGTAATTTTTGCACTCTAAAAATATTTTCTGGCATTAAATAACCTGCAAAAGGTTGATAGACTGTAAAAAAAAAATCAATTATACAATTTTCTCGAATATTCAGACCTGTAGACGAAAATAAATAAATATACTGTTAATAAATAAATTGTTAATAAATAAACAGAGAATCTACTGAACTACAAGTATCCACTAAAAATAACATTTCAAGTGATTAAATCCGTCGGATTAATAAATAAAAATCAATTATTTCTTGGGAAAATTACTTTGGTCTTATGTGAAACTAAATACACCCATATTTACTGATGAAAATGTATAGCATTAAAGTGTCAATGTTTAATCGTATTGCCAATATTCCCTTTCTGATACCTTCATAAGAGTTTTATAACATAAAACCTGCGAAGGTCAACCAAAATAGTAAAGAGACATCCGATATTTCTGATCCTATGAAATTTCAAAACTCACGATCTTCGGACTCTATATTCTTTGATATATATATATATATATATATATAATTATTTTTATAAAAAAATTTATAACATAAGTATGTTATAAAATCACTACAAAAAAGCCATTTTTTTTTCTTTCAACACACTCTGTTCTTATCAAGACACAGTGTTGAAACAAAAAAATTTTTTTTTTCAACACCATCAGTGATTTTATAAATAAAATACTTATGTTATAAATTTTTTATAAAAATAATTATATCTGCTCTACTTTGTATTGAGCACTCTTTTAAGAATAGTAATTGTTGGTTATTGGAATTCATTCCGTGTATACCAATTATATACTTTTATATATATATATATATATATATATATATATATATGATCGAGAGAGAGGGAGAGGGAGAGTACAGGTAATCGATCCATTGGTATATAACCCGGGTGGATCCTAGTAATATTAATTATTAAAATTGATCGAGAGAGAGCTCGAAGTTTGTATTTTAACAGAGCATTTGTATTTTTTACAACAAAAAAAAACAAAAATTACCTCAAGATTTTTGTTTATATATATAATCTGATAAGTCGAGATTTAAAATCTGTCAAAGAAGCAATTTATATATTTATGTATTTAAAATATATATGCATAAATTTATATATATATTTTATATATATATATATATATATATTATTTATATATATTATTTATATATATATATTATATTTTATATATATTTTATATAGATATATTTATTTTTATATATATATTTATATATATAATATATATATATATATTTATGTATATATTTATATATATATATTTATATATATATATATTTATATATATTTTATATATATATATTTATATATATATATTTATATATATATATATATATATATATATATATATATAAATCTGAAAAGTTGAAATTTAAAATATATCAAAGCTGAATTTTCTCTATTTTTTTAAACAATATTCTGTTTGCAAATAATATCAGATTTCATAAAAATATGGTTTAAACTTTGTATACCTGAGGCTGTTAAATCGTTGATGTTAGCGTAGAATATATGCGAGGATGTAAAAGCTATGGCGTCGCAGGTTTCGTTAGTCTTTGATCCATTTGAAGCAAAATTCAGTTCAGTTAAAACACAGCAGCCTGCCAAAAAGCAACAGATTTCCAAATATTCAAGAGCTCTCTTTTCACGTTAGAAATAGGCAAATATATGACTTTTTTTTCTTTTCATAAAGCAAGTCTCCCAGGTAAAGTGCAGTATTTCAAAGGTACAACGGCGTTAGTGATACAAAAAAGTCGATGATATCTGTAAACAATAAGCTGCTGAGCCCTTCATACATCCCAAACCGAATAGATATCGATATATATATATATAGACGTATGAGATTATTTCGTCAAAAGACTGCCCACTCAATACACTAATGCCAATTAATATTGCAACACTTGTTTTCAATTTATTGTACACAAGAATAAGCAAAGGTAAGATTACAGTAATTTGTCATAAATAACGATAATTATATGCAAGAGATTTCAAAATAAAGGGGTGTGTCAAAAGCATTGTGGCTCTATACTAATACACTGTTTTCCCCTTGCGCGTTAAAATAGTCCTACACTCTTAGATGTATATGTCCTTACAGGTAACGAATATCATATTGGATATATTATTCAACACGACTTGTATCTGTTGATGCAGTATAGCAAGAGTTGTAGGTAGGCCAACTGAACAAGTTCCATCCTGCCCCATTATGCAAATAGGGGGCAGGTTTGGCGATCTTATCGGCCGGGGAAATTGTCGAACATCGTGCAGAACACAGTCATTATGTAGGCGTACATTATCCTAATCGAACAACGCGTCATCTTCCTTCTGCGAGGTTGGCAGCCAACCGGATTGAACAATGCCCTGGACGCCCATGATGCTGTTCGACATTCTCTCGATAAACACCAATCGCAAACGAGTCTGCGAGTTATGACAACCCACACGATAATACCAGGGTTTGGGCCTGAATTCACTCTAGAGCATGTCCCTTCTCAGATCCATGTTGCACGCGCAAGCATGCATTTTTTTCATGTACTTTTTAATGAATGTAGGGCTCCCCAGGGATCTATCTTCGGACATAAATTCTTATTAATTTTCACCAACGATCTTCCTGATGTTATTAGTTCTCAACTCGGTGTAGCTGGGGTAATGAATGGCTTGTTAATTTGAATGCCTCTTAAACGATAATGCTGTCTTTTATTCGTTTAAGAGAACCTGTTTCCCATCAGCATGACTGATGCTAACCTCCAGGAGAATGATTCCTTGCGTTTTCTATTGACATGAAGTGGAAATTATATTGAATCAATTGTTAGGTCTGCTAATAAGAAAATTGGTTCACCGTGTTGTACAAGACAACTTTTCTTGTCAGAAACTGTCTTACGCATTTATAAGTCTACCATTCGTCCATGCGTTGAATATTAATGTCACATCTAGTCTGGTGCTTATGTTATGTATTTATAGATGCTTGATAAAATATAAAGCAGAATCTGCAATGTTATTAGTCCAGACCTGGCATCTCAGCATCAATCGCTTTTTTCACCGCTGTAAGATAGCTTCCCTGTGCCTTTTCTATAAAAAAAAAAAAAAAACAAGAAAAAAAAACAAGAATATTTTAATAATGTTTCTGTTACTAATTCTTCCCTGTGTCTTTTCTATAAATATTTTCATGCTAATTGTTTTGATGAGTTTTCATTTTTCGTACCTAGACTTTATGAATTTAAGCGCAGTACAAGATTGGGGGCAAAGGTCACATCATTTTACGCTTGAAATAGTAAAAATATGTCGGATTAAAAAATAAAATCCATTAATTCTTTAGCAATTGCTTTGTTTACGTTTCGGATAAAAACTGAACAGATGTGCCTTTTGAGAAAACCTGGACTAGTGAGAGTGTTTTAAAGCCAAATAGAGCTTTGCTTGATTGTGAAGCTCTTTATAGCCGAACAGTTCAAACAAGCTGGATAAGACGATATATATATATATATATATATATACTTATTCTTTTAATCCAACGTTTTTATTACTTCGCACGTTATTAGAATGAACACATCGTATTTAAAATAGACGCCGCATTTTTATTTATCAAACAATGTTTATTAGGCCGAATTCAAGAAATCGTAGTAATGAAAATTGCGTTCCACGGCAGGGATCGAACCTGCGTCCTGCTTTGTAGGAGGATGCAGGTTTGATTATTTGGATGAATGACATAACTTCTATTGCAGCTTTCAAGTGTATCCAAAATTTATTTTACATTAATTACTAAAAATTACTGATGAAATAACATTTGAATAAATCATTCTCTTACACAGTTCACTGTATGTGAGTGTGTATATTTATATACACATATATTCTTAATAAGGTTCGAAGTAATAAAAATAAAGGATAGAAAAAAAATAAGCCTTTAAAAATATCTTTGTTCCTAAACTGAGCAGATATAGGATTTCGAGAAGAACAATCTAGTTGAAGAGAAAGTGTTTCCTTTAATAAGAGAAAATAGAACCTTGCTTACTGTGATGTTCTTTCTTAAAAAAATATAATTAAGCATTGTATCCGTGTGACATTTTTCGTGGTTGAGCGTCCTAAGGCGCATCTAGCTTAAGTGGAACGGGTTCAATCTCTACATAGCGACACATATTCGTCATAAAAACAATTGATTTCTCTCGCAAATAGACGTCGTCTATACTGAGAGAAAAAAGAATAGGAATATTTTATTAATGTTTCTGTTACTAATTCTTTCACACGCTGAGATCCCTTCTGTTTTAGTGTCTCGCATAGAGTGATACAGATTTAAAAAAATATCTACTTAACCGCGTGGGGCACCTCGAGGCGGTGTAATGGTTAGCAAGCTTGGCTCGTTAGAACAATTACGACTGAGTAGTGAGTTCGATCCTCACTGGGTGCCCCCTAATTTCGGCCTTGTGCCACATCTAAGCTACGCTTGGAAAATCACTTGGGCACCTCGAGGTGGTGTAATGGTTAGCAAGCTTGTTTCGCTGGAACTATTACGAATGAGTAGTGAGTTCGATCCTCACTGAGTACCCCTTACTTTCGGCCTTGTGCCACATCCAAGCTACGCTTGGAAAATCACTATCTACTTAACCACGCGAAGCCAATAAATATAACATAGTTGTCTACTTGTTAAACGAGTATGACTATCGCTGACAAGTTTGATGGATGGTTTTACTTCTCTTGAGTAAAACAATGGCTCTTCAAGCCAACAAGTAACATTTTTTTCTCTCTTTTTCATTTCATTTCCCCCCAAGCAAGGCGACAGTGCCACTAGAACGCAGGGAGTCACTGGGAGTGAAAGTGAATGAGGAGTTTGAAAATAGGGAGAATTGACAAAAAAGAAATGGGCATCAAAAAGATAGAAGATGGCGATTGACGTTGCATTTCAATTTTTGAAGATTGTGGCTACCAAGAAAGCAAGTAATCGGAAAGGAATCCAATATATGGGATATGCGGAAAAAAAACTGTTAGAGTACAAATGACTGTTGCATCTAGCTCCTCCAACAGTAAACTGGTGGGACCTAGAGGCCAATCTAGTCGGGGCACCAGGAAAAAAAATTTACAATGCTTACTGCAGACGCGGCAAATTGTTCTGTATAGAATTTGGCGTGTTTTGTATATTTTCTTCAAGTTATTCATGGATTTTAATGTAACGGGTAAAACCGGGATGGATTTTGCAGGTCTTCTGCCACAATCAGTCAGTTATGGCTATTTATCCATAGCTGGGGGAAGAAAAAAGATGATCCATACCTATCCCAAGGGTATTAGCACGTAAGTGAATGTAATGGATTCGACTGGAATTCGAACTCGGCTCTCCGATTCCTAAACCCGCTATCCATTACTCCACCCTGCCATGCGTGATACACGCTTAGGCGATCATGTATCTTTCGATACATCACTGACGAGGTAGATTTTTTCCCGCAGTATGTTGCCATTTCTTTCTGCGGTAGAACATTTGCCATCCAAGGTTATAGAACTCGGTCTGTCCTGCTATTTACCCATAGCAGGGGGAGAAGAAGAGGATCCATACATTTCCCAAGGGTATTAGCACGTAAGTGAATGTAATGGATTCGACTGGAATTCGAACTTGGCTCTCTCAATCCGAGTTGCTATCCTTGACACACCCCGCATATTAAATTATTCTCAGTGTAATGTTGATAATAATTTGTCAAAGATCTACTAATATTACTCTTATTGTAGATAATGAGGCCTGTTTTAAGGAGACATGCTCTACCATTGTCATCACATGTAAATTGCTTGATTGCTGGATCAATGATTTATCCTTTCCTAGCTGGACGCTTGACATTTGCCCAACTCATTGAATGTTCTTGGAAAGTTTTAATTGCATTGAGTGTCTCTCCATCTATTTCGATCACAAATAGCAGTTTTCCACTTAGACTGCAACAGATTATTTTAAACAGATCATTGGTTTAGCCTGGGCTCAAGAGACGTACAGCAATTCGCCGTAGAACATTTATTTGGGTAGTGTGTTGTCTTTAAGGCAAATGGCATAACCTGTACGGCGAAACCTGTGTCGATGAATGTACGCTTCGATGCTAATCACAAACACACACGCACAAACACACACACACACACACACACATTATTGCAACCCAGAAAAGGTTACTGAATGAGGAATAACCAAAACGGAGTTTGGAAATGTAATGGTAATCTTTATAACATCAGCAAAATACAAAATACGGCGTGAAGTGCTAGAGATGGACTACTTAGACAGCATATTACGATATTTACCTGCCTCCCCACGAGGTAGGATATGGCACAAGGCCGATGTGGGGAAATCCAAGGCAGTGGGCTGGAGCAAAAATTGCCCGTAGGCCCCGCATACACGGGATCGGGTGTTTGTTTACGTCCCCAGACGAGACTCTGCCATAACCTCATCCGGGTACCTCTCTGCCCGAAGGCAGAGACTTCGACACGGCAAGAGCTTCCCACGCTGCCAGCTTATACAGCATATTACCCCCATTTACAACAGTGTCCAACGTATTTGTGAGGATTGGGACATACCCATTAGTGTTCATAGATACGGTATATATATATATATATATATATATATATATATATATATATATATATAATAAAAAGGCTCAAACACTAATATTCCATGTTTATAATTTATTACATTGGAATCGTAATCACGATCCAATTCATCAGACCTACAAATTCAAAAAGAAATTGAAAAATATAACTCCGGGTATAAAAAAACAAAATTTTAGTGAGAGTGTTATGTGTGGGAGTGGGAAACAAGTGTGAGAAGGAAATGTATGAAAGCTCTAGAGAGAGGTGTAATAGAAGAAAGAAGAAAAGGAAGGCCTAAAGGTGAAGGAGGGGATTAAAATGTAACAGAGAGAAGTTTTAAAGAGAGGAGTTAAATAACGGTTTAAATGGGTGAGATACAGATAAATATGAATCATTTTTCGAGTCATAATTCGCTACCGAATCGCTGACCTAAGTTAAAATTAAAAAAACAGACACCGGAAACATTTGTGGTGACACTAAGCACAATAAAAAACGATATGATCTAAACTTAAAATCCAGAAGATGAGAGAGAGGGAGAGGGAAAGGGGGGAAGGGGGAAAGGGGGAGGGGCAAACTAAAAACGAAGGGCTTTTATAAGAGAACCGATGTGTAATAAAAAACCTACAGATTAACAGATATACACATATAGACATACACATATATGACATAAACACATGACAAATTGAACATAACCATATAAAAATTAACGAATATTTAATCTAGTAAGTACCTACTACTTATATACCCCAAAACACATACACATACACAACAACATATCTATATTTACTCGCACATGCATACATATACGTGTGCACACACACACACACATACACACACATATATATATATATATATATATATATATCAATACACATACACTCATGCATACATATACATATACACGCATATACACATAGATATACACATATGTGCACATAAACATATATACTATACATAAAACCTCACACACATCCATACATATACATACACACACTCATCTAAACAAATATACAACGTATTTATCTATCTATTTATACATATACACATACATACATATACATACATATATATATACACACACTCATATATATTTATGTATACATAAACACACATACACACACACATATATATATATACACACACATATATACACACACACATACACATACACACACACACACATATATATATATATATATATATATATATATATATAAATTAAAAGGTAAAAACACTTCCATGCATACATACATTTAACATATAAAAATGGATGGATAGAATTAAACTAATTTGTACTTTAAAAAAACTACTAAGGAAGAAAACGTTAATAATATTAAAAACCCACGGAGTGATTAATGCATATATATCTCTTAAGTCTACATATATATATATATCTATCTAGGTATATACAAATATCAGAAAACTCTCAGATTTTGTATATTAGTTATTTAGGAAACCTTTTTACCTACGTACCGACATACACATATACTAACACATAAATAAAGCTTGTTAACACAAATGATCAAAAACATATATAGGTCAGAGTTCAAAGGTTAATCTGTGCTACTTTAGATCTGTTACGAAACGAAAAGTCCCGATACTTTTTGATCATACCGCGTATATATAATGAACAAGGAGAAAAACCTTAATAAATTTAACATGTTTCGCTACTTAGCCTCGTCATAATTTTTCTGGGAGTGAAATGATGCGATGCTGCTTCTATTTTTACACTAACATTACAATAAGACATTAATGCGTAACGCCCATACAACAAAACATACATACAAACGCCATAAAATAAACACATGATTTCTACACATGACCTAAACATGGCGTAAACACTTGACTTCTACTCATGACATAAACACATGACTTCTACACATGACCTAAACATGACATAAACACATGACATCTACACATGACCTAAACATGGCATAAACAAATCACCTCTACACATGACCTAAACATGACATAAACAAATGACCTCTACGCATGACCTAAGCTCGACATAAACAAATGACCTCTACACATGACCTAAACATGACATACACACGTGACCTCTACACATCTAATGAAAATAAAAGAATATCGAATTTATAATATTATGCCATTCGCAAGGTTCAAAAAAGAATTTTTAAAAAAGATTCTTATTATACTAAATAGCAAATTTAAAAAAAAAAGTTTTTGATTATACTAAATAGTGAAACATGTTAATTTTTCTACTTATTTATTTATTCATTTTCTCAGATTTAATATATATCTTCAACTCACTCCCCCACACACATATATATATATATTCTTTATTATAGAATTTATATATATATATATATATATATATATATATATATATATATATAATAAAAAACTTAAACACTAATATTCCATAGTCATAATTTATTCCATTGGAATCGTAAATACGATCCAATTCATCAGACCTACAAATTCAAAAAGAAAACAGAAAAAACAACTCCGGAAATAAAAACAGAATTTAGAGAGAGTGTAAGTATGAGGTGGGGGAGATTAAACCTTAACAGAGAGAATATTAGGAGAGGTGGATGGAAGGGGTTTAAGTAAGAGAAAAATGAATGTTGTCAGATGTCGAATGCATAAAGACACATTTCGTGGTGACATACACACACCATAGACAATTTAATGTTAGAATAAGAGGGAGGGAAAGACGCGGTCGGGGAGAAAGATGGGGCGAAGGAAAGTGAAATTGCGTTTACTTTGTTATTGAGAAAATTTGACAAATTTAATATCGACTACAGGTTACAAATCAAATATAAACATATAAAAAATAAATATAACGATTATCTAATCCATCAAGGACCTATATTTTTATGTTCAAAAACACATGCGAATACACACATACACAATAACATATACACGTATATACACATAGGCGTGTACCCACATACACACATATATATACCCATATACACACATATAAAAATATATTCACATATCTGCACATACACATATTCATGTATATCCATATACACACACTTTTCACATACATATACATACATACACATGCACACATGCATATACCCATCTATACACATATACACACATATAC